ATCTCTGCTAATGATAATCTGTATTTGCAGCCGCTCCCCAGCACTAGCATCACCGCCTCAGCTCCACCTCAGATCATCAGGCATTAGAGTCTCATAACGTGAGCACAACTTAGATCCCTCGCATGCGCAGTTTACAGTAGGGTTCCTGCTCCTATGAGAATCTAATGCCACCACTGATCTAACAGGAGGCAAAGCTCAGGCAGTGATGCAAGGGAGCAGTGAGGAGAGGCTGTGAATACAGATGAAGCTTGCTCACTCGCCTGCTGCTCACCACCTGCTGTGCAGCCAGATTCCTAACAGGCTATGGACCAGTACAAAAATTGGAACTACACAGAGAAGACTAGCATGGCCCCTCTTTGAGGATGACATGCAAATTCATGAAGCATTCCATCAAAAACAGTTGTAAGTAACTTCTAAATATATGTACTTTCCATTTCAAAAACAAGATTTTTGTTCCCAAGTTAGTAATTGTTTGATTTCTTTCTCATCCAGAAACTTTTTTTTTTTGAGACAGGGTTTCACTGTCTCCCACGCGGGAGTGCAGTGGCATCATTATAGCTCACTGCAACCTCAAACTCCTCCTGAGCTCAAGCGATCCTCTTGTCTCAGTCTCCCAAATAGCTAGGACTACTGGCACATGCCACTATGCCAAGCTAATTTTTCTAACTTTTTGTAGAGACAGGGTCTCCCTATGTTGCCCAGGCTGGTCTAAATTTCCTGGCCTTAAGTGATCCTCTCACCTCGGCCTCCCAAAGTGCTTAGGATTACAGATGTGAGCTACCAAGCCTGGTCTCAACTCTTCTTTACATGATGTTATTCACTGACATTTCTGTAGATAGAATATTGTATCTAATTCTTATAATCTTCTTCTTTATTTCTTGATTTTAAGACAGGGTCTTGCTCTGTTGCCCAGGCTGGATTTGAAATTCTGTGCGCAAGTGATTCTCCCACCTGAGCCTCCCAAGTAGCTGGGACTACAGGTGAACATTGCACCCAGCTTGTTTTTATTTTGATTCATAACAAGTAGAAATTCATTTTTCAGTTGATGGGTGCCAAATGCCAGACTCTAGTCCAAGGTACTGAATAAAACTGTTCTCTGCTAACTGTATCCACCCCACACTGAACACTGGGACACTGAGGGAGAAGTGGGAAGCCACCTACCTGCTTGGATTCTGCTAGCAGAATTATCACAATGGGTCCCTCTTTGGGCTTTTAAGAAAGTCCTGTTGAGTGAGCGTAAAATAGTCTCTGTATCAGTGAGTTGTAACACTGACAATGGTGGCTACGTTACTGTTAAGCTTAGTGCACCAACGAAAATTCCAGTGATGTGTAAGAAGAGAGATTCTTTTTGACCATTTCACTTTTGCTAAAAGCAGTTTTAATCTCCAGTAAGATCTCTTCAGTATACACAGACCTGCTCACTGAGCTATTCTTCGACATAAAAATTATACCGTTTGGGCCCTGACAACAGGCTAAGCATTGCTCACTGAAACAGGTGACTTAGCATATGCTGTCACATCCAAAACACTAAGACAGCACTGGCGAGGACAGTTGAACCTCAAACGACTGGGGGGTTAGGGGCTCCAATCCCTAAGTCAGAAATCTGTGTATAACGTTTGACTCCCCCAAAACTTAAATACTAATAGCCTTACTATTGACCAGAAGGCTTACTGATAACATAAACAGTCAATTAACACGTTTTGTATATGTATTACGTACTGTATTCTTACAATAAAGTAAGCTAGAGAAAAGAAAGTGTTATTAAGGAAATCATAAAGAGGAGAAAATATATTTGCTATTCATTAAGTGGAAGTGGATCATCAGAAAGGTCTCTATCCTCATTGTCTTCACATTGAGTACGGAGTATTGAGGAGGAGGAAGAGAGTTGGGGCCCGTTCACTGAAACGGGAGACTTAACATGGACCATATATCTGCCGTGAAAAATGGGCTTTCTTTTCTTTCAAGAACAAAAAATAAGAAGGGGAATTTGGGTCATACTTGGGAACTACAGTGATGCGGGGTTGCTGGGAACATTTGGACAACACAAGACTCCACATTGAAGGGACTGCCATTCACACAACCAACCGCATTGGTTTGCATGTTTATTATGATAATTTTCTGGCAGGTATCCAGTCAAGTGTCTTATTCTAACAGAACTTATATATATTAAAATAATGTTCTGGGAGATGAAAGCCAAAGGTTGGAAGAGCACATTTTTCTAATTTGCGCAAAGATGTTGTACTGAAATAATAACCAGGAACTTGGAGATAAGGAGCCTGCCTTCTAGGAGTTGCCCTTTAAGATGAATAGAGGCCCCCGTGCAGCCTCCTCTGAGACGACCCCTGCGATTTCACTCTCTGAGCCTGTGCTTCTTTTAATCATTGGACTGGAACAAACTGGCCTTGTGGTTTGTCCATCAGCCCTCGTGGCTCTGGTTGATGGAAGTCTCCAACGGAGACGGATCCACTCTGGGATTCTGAAAAGTCATGTTTCTGAGGACAAGACCCTGATCCAATGTGACTCTGTTGAAGTCCTGCCTCCTTTTAGGACAACTTGCTGGGTTTCTCTTGAAGCAGGTTCCAGCTGGCCTCATCTTAAGAACCATGAGATGTTTGCTAAGCATGCAACTTCCTAGGTCCCAACCCAGCAGGTCTGAGGTGGGCCCAGACATCTTCATGTTTAACAAGTCTTCCATAATCTGTCATGAGAGTTTAAAGAAAAAACAAACAAAAAACAACAAACCAGCATTCCAGGTGACTCTCATGTCCAGGTGAGTTTAGGAAATCTTGTTCTAAAAAGGTTTCTGATGGGGGGAGTGAAATCAGGTTAACTTGAGCTCAGACAGTCCCCTTACCTTATGGATGGGAAAGTCGGAGGCAACACCCAAATTCAAGAAGGCTTATATGTGTGGTGGGGAGAGAAAAAGAAAGCCCTAGGAAGACAGACCCAGCATTCTGCCTTTCCTAGGCTGGGCCAGAAGCTGCCTGCTGGGGTGGGCTGCATGGAGAGCTAGTGAGTGTGCACCGAGCCTGGCCCTCGGGAGGCAGGCAGTGGGCTCATCATGCAGCTGCCACAGGTCAAAGGGCGAAGCAGTCACAGCGCTGCCTGCCCTCAGGTCTGGGATTGGGCCATTGGGCCAACACCCCAGTGAGGGTTGGGTCTTTGCCTCGTCCTACGTTAAGAATCAATAAAGCTCTGGGGACAGAGGTAAGCCAGGCACTGAAGTGCTGTGGGTTAGTGACAGGGTGGGGGAATCAGACTCTAGAGTCCAGGGGACTGAAAACAGATCCCTGTCCTGGGTCCCACCTCTTCCCCACCCCCACCCCCCAGCCATGCTCAGAACAAAGTCCAGGACAGGACTGCCTGTCAGCCCCTTTAACGGTGGGGACATCAGTCCTGGAAATGAGGAGGTGGGGGCTAGACTAAAAAAGCATCCTTCAAGGACCTGTTCTAAGCCTCAACAGCCAAAGGAGAAAAAGCTTCCACTTTGCTTCACTCCACTCTCTATGGCCTTGGCTGCCCTAACCTGGGGAGCAGAGAGGCTGGGCCCAGGCTATGAAGGGGCCCCTCGCTCTCACGAGTTTGGACCCCAGAGCCCCTGCACTAGACTCAGGGAGCCCTGAGCAGTAGATCCGCTCCCACCCATCAGGCCCAGCCCCGGGAAGTGTGGAGTGGAGTCTCAGTGTGGCTGCTCAAAGAGGGCGAAGCTCTGGCGGGACTGTCTGCCGTTCTCTCCTTCCAAGAAGCACCTGCTGCTTCCTATTTTCCTTTTAGAAGAGTCTCCGTGGTGGTGATGGATTAAGACCAGGAAACCAAACCAGTTCGATGTGAACTATACTGTCAGTGCCAGGTGTTGGGGGAAGGTCCTGGCAGCTGCGGACAGTAAAAATACAATGGACTTGGAATCTGGAAACCAGCGTCTGAGCCCCAGCTATACCACCCATTAACAGTAGGACGGCTGGGCACGGTGGCTCACGCCTGTAATCCCAGCACTCTGGGAGGCTGAGGCAGGAAGATCACTTGACACCAGGAGTTCGAGACCAGCCTGGGCTACATGAGACCCCGTCTCTACAAAAAATTTAAAAAGTAGCCAGGTGTGGCAGCATGTGACTATAGTCCCAAATATTCAGAAGTGGGAGGATCCCTTGAGCCCAGGAGTTTGAGGTTACAGTGAGCTATTTCTGTGCTACTACATTCCAGCCTGGGCAACAGAGTAAAATCCTAACAAGACAGAAAAGAAAGAAAGAAAAGAAAAGAAAGCAAAAAACCCAGTAGGACCTTGGGCACATCATTGACTCGGGCCTGTTTTCTCTTCTATGACATGGGGCTACCAGCACCCACTCACCAGTGTGTTGTAATGGTTAAAGTGCTGTGAATATGTACAACTGTCATCACTATTGCTACCAACTGCCTTGATCCCTGCCCTCAGGACAAGCCAGGGAGGGGCTGAACCTCCCACCCCTTCTCCCTAGAGGCCAGCCTCCCTATTCCTCCCCTGGCCCTGAAGAACAGAGTGTAGCCAGGTGATGTTGAGACACTGGGATGTCCTCCCCTCTGGGTTCCAGGTACAATGGTCGGGAAGAGCAGAGTGAGCAAGTGTGGTCATCAGAGAACAAGGTTCAAGACCAACAGGCAGGGCCAGATGGAGGTGGCAGGGAGGGGAAGACATCCAGTAAACACTTTACACAACAAGTGGGAGGCCTCGGGGAGAGAGGAGAGGCAGGAGAGAGGGAGGAAAGGAGGGCAGCCAGGTGCCCAGGACACAAGGGAGTATGAGCCAGGGTCAGCGCACTGTGCTGGGCCTCACATCAAAACAACCCTGGGCCGTCCCCGCACTTGCTATTCCCAACAGTTGGCAGGTTCAGCCTCAATAAGGGGAGGATGGGAGCAGCCTCCCCACCCTCAGCCCCAAAGGCTGGAAGGTAGGGGCAGGGAAGAGCAACAGGGTCTCCCAGGTACCTCTGAGGGCTGAAGAGGACTCAGAAATAGGAACCAAAAGGCCAGAAGGTTTTTACTCTGTGAGCCCTGCGGAGGGCCGGGCAGAGTGCAAGGTGTCCACAGGAGGGGTGAGCACGGAGGAGGAGCTATGGGGTGCTGCAGTCTTGCTTCCCTGTGAGGGCGGCAGTGAGGGCAGGTGGAGGTCCGGCATACCCATCTCATGGGCTCTGGATGGACTCCAGTCCTGGTGCCCAGTTCTGACACCTGCCTGTCCTGAGTTCACACTGGAGTCCTTGAAGTCCGGAAACTACATGGCCTGCCTGAAGCCCGCGTCGGGAGAGGAATGCTTGGCGGAGGGTAAAGGCTGGCATGGGCTGACCATGGCTGCTCTCATTTCTTCCTGGGGCTTGTGTCTTTCCTTGGCAGCAGAGGGCACAGCCAAGGCAGGAGGACCTGAAGGTGGCAGAGCCATGTTTGCCTGCTAGAGCCATGCCCCAGATGCTTCAGCTTCAAAGTCAAGGGTCTCGGTACAGGGGACACTGGATTAGGCTCAGAGCTCGTCGGGGGGGCTGTGTGTGAGTGGGGATGCCTTCTGAATGCCCTCATCCTCCTCAGGGCTGGGGTCCTCCTCAAGGCCACCCAGCTCCTTCCTTTGTTTGCTGCTGCTGGTCCTGCTGCCCAACGCCTTGGCCCTGCCGCTCTTCTTCTTGGATTTCTTCCCTCCGAGGGCAGCTGTGTCTCCCTTCTTGCCAGACCACTGCTCTGCCAGGCAGCCTGCATGAGGAGGAGAGATACTCTCAACACAGGTGCCTCAGGACTGGTTTGCTGGGTGAGGGGCACTGATCGTGGAGCCACAGGGAGCAGCAACTGGAACTGGTGCCTGACATCAACATCCCTGCCTCCCCGCTCACTGTGGCCACCAGGCCCCATGGGGCCCCTGGCTTATCCTCATGGCATGCTGCACAGGGCTCAGGGCCTCTTACCTCACCTCATCTCACCCAGGCCCCTGAGGGCACAGACCCTTCCATGCCCTCTGATGCCCTCTGTCTTCTCCATCCTCTCTGACCCACTCGCCGGAGAGAGAACAAACAAAATCCCTGCCCTGCCTTCCCCAAACCCTTGGACTCACTGGTGTCCTTTCCCTTCAGCACGTGGTTGGCGCAGAGGAATTCTGTCAGGTCCTCCTCCTGGTGGTTCCTGTACCAGTCCTCGATCACCTCCTCAAACTCTTCCACCAGCACGTCGCACTGTTAACCACAACACCTCACGTTGGCAAAGCCCCAGACCCGACTTGCTCCTAGAGGAGCTCAGCTAAGCTTCAGGACCCTCCGCAAGACAGGCAGGCGGCTGTGATTCACCCAAGGAAACTGAAGGCAGGGAGGTGAAATGACTTCATTAAAGTCACCCAGGCCTTGGTGGCCTTCCTCAGAGCAGACCCAATCCCCACAGGTCTCCCCTCCCCATTGGGCATAACAGCCCCCAGGGGCTAAAGGGCCTGTACCTGCTTCTTGAGGTCAGCCACCTCTGCAGAAGTCTCGTTCCACAGCTCATAGGGGATGTCCATCACCACCTTGACCCCTTTGTGTACCAGGTTGTGTAGCGTCTCAAAGGTCTCTGACATGCCCTGGAAGAAGTGACCAGACATGGGAGGCGGAGCTAACTTCTTTACTCCTGCCCTCCTCTCCCAGTGGTGTCTAAGGACCTGGCTCTGAGAAGTCAAGACCCTCTAAACCTTCTCATCCTTGACCTTAGCATCCTCTCCCATTTTAGGCCCGTTTCCCACAAGCCCTGCACGTACACACCCTCACCTGCCTCCCCACACTCCATCCTTTCACACAGACCTGCTGTTGCCTTCAGGCCCTTTGATCTTTTTTTTTTTTTTGAGACAGAGTATCAACTCTGTCACCCTGGCTAGAGTGCAGTGGCATCATCACAGCTCACTGCAACCTCAAACTCTTGGGCTCAGACGATCCTCCTGCCTCAGCCTCCCAAGTAGCTGAGACCGCAGGTGCATGCCACCATGCCCAGCTAATATTTTCTATTTTCAGTAGAGATGGGGTCTCACTCTTGCTCAGGCTTATCTTGAACTTCTGACCTCAAGCAATCTTCCCGCCTCGGCCTCCCAGAGTGCTAGGATTACAGGCGTGAGCCACCGCACACTTTGAATTTATACTCCTTTTCCAGGAAGTAAGTTTCTCTTGGCTCTCCCCGCTCACTGTGGTTGGACACACTCCGCCTTCAAGATCAGTTTAATTCAGTTCATAAAGAATGGCCTCATTCTTTGTTTTCCAGCTGCATACTAATCCTGCAAATGGCCACATCAACGTACTTAACCACTCCCCTACTGGTAGACAGTTTGGTTGTTTCCAATTTTTTTGCTATGGAAAAAGATTTTAAATACTTTTTATTAAAGCAAATACAGATTTATTATTAAATA